TCCCACGAGAGCCCCAAGAGGCAACATTCACGGATTTTCCATACGTGTTTGAAAGATTGAGGCGTTCTTGCCTCTTCCGCTTCCCGACGCGCCAAGACGGCGCAAGAGGCCCCCAATATCGCCCCGAGACGGCCCAAGAGGCCCCCAAGAGAATCCCCGAACGGCCGAAGAGGGCGCCTCCAAGACGGCCCAAGAGGCCCCCAGACGGCTCCAGGAGAGTGCCCAGACGAGAGCCCTGGGCGGCTCAAAACGGCCTCAGGAGAGCCACAGGCTGTCCCAAGAAAGCCTCTGGCCTCCTCCTCTTCCTCCTCCTTCTCCTCCTGCCCCCCCCTCTGCTCCCACTCCTCCTGCTTTCCTCTGCCTTCTTCTCCTCCTCTTGCTTCTTCTCCACATCCTTCTCCCCCCTCCTCCTCTCTCATCCACCTCCTCCACTCTTCCCCCACCCCTCGTTTTCATCTTCGTCGCTCTCGGGGTCGGGGGCAACGGCCGTAAGGCCTTCGATATATATACATATATATGTATATATGTATATATATATGTGTATATATATACACATATATATATAGAGAGAGAGAGAAAGACATGCTCACCCGCCCCCGTCGAACAAATTGGCATCATGCCCGAGGGGTCCAAGCAACGTACGGGCCTGCGAAGCATCTCTGGTCGGTTTCCCGTTGGAAGGTCCCGATGCAATACCTGCTACATCGCGACGACCATGATGATCTGAAAAGAGACGCGTCAGCCCCCCAAACAAACGAAACGGCTGAATATGGGTGATTGCGAATGGCTCGAAAACTTCGGGACCTCTGCCAGGATGGGTTCCGGCCAGAATCTCGAGGCGAATCCAGCCGTGGCGACGAGAGCCTCCCAGAAGTCAAGGATAGCGGTAGCAGCACATTCTCCTCTCTGGAGCGCCCCCCTGCCGTTGCCCATGACCTGGACGCCCGAGATGGGAACGGAAACAGTGGGCACAAAGCCCAACAGCAGACGTTGTCCAATACCGACAGCGCCCGCTGTCGGGGAGGCGGCCTTCTGTCCCAGATCGACAAGGCCCGCGGCGACGCAGACAGTAAGTCCTGTTCAAAATGAACAGGAACTGCTGCCGGTGTTTGTACCCATTCTTTTCTGTGCCCATTTCGATCGCCCCGAGCTCCTCCTGCTCCTCCTCCTCCTCCTCCTCCTCCTCCTGCTCCTCCTCCTCCTCCTCCTCCTCCTCCTCTTCCTCCTCGGTCTTTGTACCGTCTTTCCGTGCCCATTTCGATCGCCCCGAACTGCTCCTCCCCCGCATGAGGCCTTGAACGGGTTCCCGGCGAACAGCTCCAGCGCCTCCGCCTTGGTGAGGACCAGCCGCTCGAAGGGCGCGTCCTCCTGGCGGACGGTCTGCATCCTCTGGGAGGGGGGGGGACCTCGATGCCGACCTCTCACTACTAACGCCTCCCACCTCCTTCATACTCGTCCTTCGTACCTCCTCCTCCTCCTCCTCCTCCTCCTCGCCCTCCTCCTCCTTCTCCTCCGGCTGCTCCAACTCCTGCTCCTTGTCCCTCCGCACTTCCCTCCCGCCTCTTCCTCCTGCTCCTCCTGCAAAGTCTCCCGCTCTTCCTCTTCGCCCCCTCATCCACCTCCTCATTCCATCAGCATCGCCATCACCATGACCATCACCACCACCACCACCACCACCACCACCAGTATCGTCATCATCATCATCATCATCATCATCATCATCATCATCAGCAGCAGCAGCATCAGCAGCAGCAGCAGCAGCAGCAGTATCAGCATCATCATCATCATAATCAGCATCAACATCAACATCAGCATCAGCAGCATCATCATCAGCAGCATCAGCATGAGCATCCTCATCATCATCCTCCTCATCATCATCATCATAATCGTCAGCATCCTCATCACCATCATCATCACCATCATCACCACCACCACAGACACCATCATCATCATCCTCCTCATCATCATCATCATAATCACGATCAGCATCAGCAGCAGCCTCATCATCGTCATCAGCATCATCAGCATCATCACCAGTATTATCATAATCATCATCAGCATCATTTGTTTCAGCACCATCATCAACAGCATCAGCATCAACACCATCAGCGTCATCAGCAGCAGCATCATCAGCTCCATCAACCTCATCATCAACAGCATCATCATCGTGATCAGAGTCATCTTCATTATCATCAACATCGTTATCATTATCATCATCAGCATCAGCATCGTCATCATCACCACCACCATCATCATCACAGTATCATCACCCGCATCATCCACATCATCGACATCATCAGCATCGTCATCACAGCATATCGTCAATGGCATCATCAGCAGCAGCATCAGCACCATGATGGATATTACCATCATCACCAGCACCACCATCATCATCATCATCATCAGCATCATCGCCATCATCATCAGAATCGCCATCATCATCAGCATCAGCATCATCATCATCCAGCAGCAGCATTATCATCGTAACCATCATCACAGCATAATCATCATCAGTGTCATCAGCATCATCATCAGCATCATCATCAATTGCATCACCAGCAGCATCGTCATCACAACCGAAATCCTCATCAGCAGCAGCAGCAGCAGTGGCATCACGATCAGCACAAGCACCATCAGAATCATCGTCAGCATCATCGGCATCATCATCCAAACCAACATCAGCAACATCATCAACAATCACAATCACCATCACCATCACCATCATCACCACCATCAGCATCATCATGGTGTTGGTGGTGGTGATGATGGTGTTGACCATGAGGATAATGATCAGGAACACGACAATGGTGCTGGCGATGCTGGTGCTGATGCTGATGCTGCTGCAGAGGATGGTGCTGAAATGCTGATGATGATGGTGAGCGTGATGGTAGTGAGAGGATGATTCAGAGGATTGTATGATGATAATGAGTGTGATGCCGATGGTAATCATGATTAGTATGATGCTGCTGTTGCTGACTATGATGATGATGCATGGTTTGTAATGGTCGTGACCACGATTGTGCATGCGGAGGAAGGGGATTCAGATGGTGATTATGATTACGATGATGACGGTGGACGTGGTGATACGTATCATGATGATTTTGGTGACGGCCATGGTAACGTTGTCGACCATGGTGATGTTGCTATTGTTGTTCATCATGATGGCTATGATGTTGTATATGTTGGCGACACTGATGTTGATGCTTATGCCGCTGATGATGACGATGGTGATGCTGGCGATAGCGGTGGTGATGGTGATGCTGATGACGATGACGACGACGATGGTAAGGATGACGATGAAGTGTCCGATAACGATGATGGCCGATGCTGATGCTGACGCTGCTGCTGCTGCTGCTGCTGATGACGAAGGCGATGGTAAAGTCGACGACGATGACGACGACGATGATGAGGGTGGTGGTGGAGATTGATGATGGTGATGAGGATCATGATGATGATGATGATGGTGGTGGTGGTGGTAGTGGCGATGATATGGTTAATGATGCTAATGATGCTGATGATGATGAGTATGATGACGATGATGACGATGACGATGACGATGATGATGAATATGATGATGACCATTCTGCTGCTACTGCTGCTGATGATGAGTCGGAGATATGGAGGAGCCAGAGGATGAGGAGCGGGATGTGGCGGGATGAGGAGGGGGGAGGTGCGGTGTATGAGGAGGATGCAAGGGATGAGGTTGTCGTGGGATACCATCACGGCCTCCCTGACCGTAGACAGACCGGCCTTCAAGCCTTCCTGTCTCCCCCTGCCTTCTCTCAGGTAGAGGGGGAATGAGAGGAGGGTGCGAGGAATTCAAGAAGAGGAGGCAGAGGGGGATCTGATGATGATGATGATGATGATGATGATGATGATGATGAGTTGATGCTTGCAACACTGATGACAGTGATGTTGATGATTGTGGTGATGCTGATGATAAGCGAATACGATGATGGCGATGATGACGATGACGCTGACGCTGACGCTGGCACTGACGGTGATGATGATGATGCGGACGCTCATCATAATCATCAACGTCATCATCATCATCATCATCATCATCATCATCATCATCATCATCATCATCATGCTCATCATCACCACCATCGTCGTCATCGTCGTCATCGTCGTCATCATAACCAATGTTAATCATCATTAGCAACAGGAACAACAACAACATCAACACCATCGTCATCATCATCGCCACCACCACCGGCACCGTCAGCATCCTGGTCATTATCTTCATCCTTATCATCGCCATCCCCCCTTACCAATCCTCCTCCCCCTCCGCCGCACACTGCGCCTCCTCCTCGTCCTCCTTCTCCTCCGCCTTCTCCTCCGCCTCCGCCTCCGCCCCCGCCTCCTTCTCCTCCTCCTCCTCCTCGTCCTCTTCTTCCTCCTCCTCCTCCTCCTCCTCCTCCTCCTCCTCCTCTCGTGCCCCCTGGGTCCTCTTCTCGATCCTCTCGTAGTCGGCCTCCGAAAGCCGCTCGTCCCCCAGAAAGACGTCGTAATAGTATCCCCCGTCCACGTCTGGCCCGCAGGTCAGGTGGCCGCCGAACTCGCGCTGGTAGAGGAGGGGGGAGCAGAGGGGGAGGGAGGGTCAAGGGTGGGAAGAAAGGGGAGGAGGGAGGAGAAGGAGGAAGGGTGGTGGGGGCGTGGGGAATTAAAAAGGAGCACGGTGGGAGAGGGGATGAGGGAGGAGGGTAAGGAGGGAGGGGAGGGAGGGAAGGGGGGGAAGGAAGGGGAGAGGGGAGAGGCGAGAGGGGAGAGGGGTGGGTGAGGCAAGCTACTTCATCCATCCCTCCCTCCCATCCCTGCCCATGGCGCTAATTCTTCTATTTCCCCGGACGCGTGTCATAGCCAACTGCAACTCTCACAGAAAGACCACATCGTGCTTTGCGCAAATGGAAAAAGGGGATCTGCGTGTTGGAGAAGTTGGCGGGTGAGCAGGAGAATGAGCGGGAGGAAAGGAACGAGGACGTACAGCAGCATCAGGAACTGAAGCAGAAGGATCAGGAGAAACAGGAAGACCAGGGGAAGACGAAGGAGGGGAAATGAGGGGGGATAACGATATAGGAAAGACTCGGAAAGTCGCCCGCGCTGGGGCGAGACAAGCAGCAGCAGCAGCAGCAGGAACTGGAGTGAAGGTGCGGGAGGAACAGGAGGACCAGGGGGGAGGCGGAGGAGGGAAAACGAGGGGGGCGACCACAATCCAGCAACACTCGGATCTAGAAAAGTGGCCCGCGCTGGGGCAGGCCATTCTGAACAACGAGCAAAAGCAGCGATCCGAAAGTGAGGCCCACCATGGAGCGTGAGCACCATTTGAAACACCGAAAACCATCGGATTACAAGAAAACGTGATATCAATGTTTGAATCCTGTGTGAAAGAAAAACAGCACTCGGAGAGGACCCGCTATCTTCCGGACGGAATCAGGGGAGGAGGGAGAGTAGTACTCATACTGTTGAGTTGTGGAGGATGGAGGCGGGGAGGAGGGAGCGGGGGAAGGAGTGGAAGAAGAGAGGAAGGGGGGGAGAGGGAGAGAGGGAGGGAGGGAAAGGAGAAGGAAGGAGGGGAAGGAGGGGAAGGAGGGAGTGGATGGGGGGAGAGAAAGAAGGGCGGTGTGGGGCCAGGATGCGGAGGAAGAGAGGGAGACGAGGACGAGGGGGAGGGGTTGGAAGGGGGGGAGGTGGAGGTAAGTGGAGGTGGAGGAACACGAGGAGGACCAGCAGAAGCAGCGGCAGTAGGAGACAGGCGCAGGAGCATGAAACGGGGAGCAGGGGGGGCAGGAGGATGTGACGAGGAGGCTGCAACTCCTAGAACTCCTTGTTTCAGTAGGCTAACGATTCGCAATAACGCCAAGTACTGGGGACGCAGGGGGGGCCCGGCTCGGGGTGGGGGGGAGGGAGAACACATCGATCTGGAATCAGCGCTACATCGCCAATAGATTGGCTATGGGCCCCCGATTGAGGATCCACACGTTCCTGGCGGCGGCGTGGGTGGGCTATCGGGCCTCTGTCGGCGATCAATGGGCGATTGGGGGTCGATACATCCACCTCTAGGCCGATCCCCAACTAATTTTGACCCTGACCCGCTCCCTCCCTGATGGTGACGTCACGCTTGGTCGGCGCCAGCACCGTTTGGGAATGCCTACGGGTAGCTGATTCCCAGAGGGTGCTGGCACAAATGTCACCACCCCTTTAGGACGTGTGGCTTAGGGCGATTCTTCTTCCATATTCCCTCTTCCCACTCAGGGAGGGGTACATCACTGTCCCCTATTGGTATACACCCCCTCCCCAGGCGACAGGCAGCAAACCAGGAACCATGCCGACCCAAAGATCGCACACAACCACCACTGTGCAAAAAAAACAAAGATCCTCTTACTCCAAATTCGGAGCATGTGCAACCAACCCGATGCACCCCCCCACACCATCCCTGTCAAAAAAAAACAACTCGAAGTACACGGTGGTGCAAAGTCTTGAGTCATGTTCGTGAGGCCCGCGAGCACGTTGTATTGGTTTTGACAGGGACGGCGGGGGTGCCAGCATATTGCCTGCTGTGCGCAGGGCCACCATCTCTGTCGAGGGGCCATACACAATGCACCTCGCGTCAAAAACTGGATCATGCGCGGCCACCCCGCGATCACTGTCAAGTAGATTTTGACAGGGACGGCGGTGGTGGTGGCGTATGGCCTGCTGCGCGCAGGCCCACCAGGCAACATGATGGGCAGTGGTTTTCGACAAGGATGGTGGGGGCCAACATGTTCCCCGATGTGTGCTGCACGTGCGCAGGCGCACCTGACACACCCCTGCACGTGCCCCGAACGTGGTGCATCTGGCGCGGCTGCTGGAGTATGCGGCACACCTGGCGCACGCAGAGCACGTGGCGCATCTGGCGCACCAGGCGTGCCTGGCACGCTCGGGCCCCAGGGGTGCCTGGCGCGCGTGGCGCGCCTGGCACGCGTAGCGCGCCTCGCCCCAGCGTCGCGCACATGGGGTTGGTGTTGGTTCCCAGTAGCTGCCCATCAAAAGACGACCGCTGAACATGCTGAGGCTCGGGTGTGACTGTTGTGTTGAGAGGGCAGGTGGGAGTGAACTTGACGGCTTGCTACCTAGGAGGGGGTCTGGACCCCTCCCCCTACCCCCATACCTCTCGGTCTGGAGGGGGCCGTCTGGCGCCCTTCTGGGACTGAAAAGGGGAGAACCCGAAACACTTACCAAAACCCTAGGGAAATCAATGTTGTTGGCCTCCTGAGGCCCTCTCGGGGGCCCTATTAACAACCTCTGGAGCCGTCTCGAGACTCTCTTGGACCGTCTGGAGGCCATTTGAAACACTCTTGGGGCCGTCTTTGGGCCCTCTGAAGCCGTTTTGGGGCCCTCTTGGGCCGTCTTGGGGCCCTCTGACCGGTTCACCCGAAAAAATACAAATAAACAGGCCATGGGAGCCGCCCGGGAGCCGCTTCACTCAAAAAAAAATAAAACGAGGAAGAGGGGCAACTAACCTGCTTGGCACGGTGACGGAAAGCGCTTTGACTTTCAAAGCGCGAGATGTCGCTGGCTTGCCCGTTCTTTCTCTCTGTCTTCCCGTGGTGAGGCTCTTTTGGGGCATCTTGGAGGCATATTGAGCGCCCTCTAGGGCTATCTAGAAGCCGCAGGAGGCCTCTTCAGGGGGAACTAGGGCGTGTTGGTTTCTTGGGAAGGCACTACAGCGCGATAAAACACGAATGACGATTATGATAATGCTGTTGATGATGATGATGACGACGACATACTGTCTCTTGGGAGCATGGGCCTATCCCAGGCCCTCCTTGGGCGTCTTGTGGCTCTCTTAGGCCATCTTGGGGCCCTTTTGGGCCGTCCTCAGGCCCTCTTGGGAGCCTCTCGGACCCGCTTGAAGCATCTTGGAGCCCTCTTGGGGCCGTCTGGGGGCCCTCGTGGGCCGTCTCGGGCCCCCCTTGGGTCGTCTGGGGGCCCTCTTGGACCGTTTCGGCCCCTTTGAGGGGCCACTGGGGCCGTCTTGGGACGATCGTTGGGGCCTCTTGGGCCCGTCTGGTGGCCCTCTTGGACCGTTGTGGGCCCCTTTGGGCGCACCTGGGGCTGTCTTGGGACGATCTTTGGGGCCTCTTGGGCCGTCGGGGCACTTTTGGGACTGAAGAGGGGAGAACCCGAAAAACATATACAAAAACCATAGGGATATGAATGTTGTTGGCCTCCTGAGGCCCTCTCGGGGGCCCTCTTGAGGGACTCTGGAATCCTCTCGAGGCTCTCTCGGACCATCTGGAGGCAATCGGAACCATCCGGGTACCCTCTTGGACCGTTTTCGGCCCCTTTGGGGGGCCTCGGGGGCCGTCTTGGGACGATCGTTGGGGCCTCTTGGGTCGTCTTGGGCCCGTCTGCCCCTTCGGGGTGCTTCTGAGGCCGTCTTGGGACGATCTCTGGGGCCCCTTGGGCCGTCTGGGGCCCTTCTGGGACTGAAAAGGGGAGAACCCGAAACACTTACCAAAACCCTAGGGAAATCAATGTTGTTGGCCTCCTGAGGCCCTCTCGGGGGCCCTCTGGAACCTCTGGAGCAGTCTCGAGACTCTCTTGGACCGTCTGGAAGCCGTCTGAAGCTCTCTCGGGGCCGTCGTGGGGCCCTCTGAAGCCGTTTTGGGGCCCTATTGGGCCGTCTTGGGGCCCTCTGACCGGTTCACCCGAAAAAATACAAAGAAACAGGCCATGGGAGCCGCCCGGGAGCCGCTTCACTCGAAAAAATACGAAGGAAGCAGGCCGTCGGGATGCCACTCCCCTCGAACTCCCCCTAGTTAATTCCTTCCGACTAACGGAGCGCACGCTACGCGCGCTTTCCATCACCCGGGTGATCGCCAGACCCTGAGGAAACCAGACTCCTGACGTTTCCAAGCGTTTTCAGACGCTCCTGGAGGTGTTCCTCCCTCGGGATGCGTCCCAGTGCCTTCGCCTCGACGACCGCGCTTTGGGGGCGGCCGAAACGTCCCGAACGGCGGCTGTAGACCCGAGCTCTGCTTCGGTCGGGCATGTCCTCCTACAGGCGGATTTGGGAAGAAAAAATAATCAATAAGACTCAACCATAGCCAAAAACTACCAGAAAACCGTCCACTCACTTTTTGGCACTATTTCTAGAGATTCCTCTTGTAGAGGGCCACGCCCGACTTAAAGCTATGGCGCAGCTGGCGCACCCGAGAGGAGGTGGCGTCCTCCAGCGCGGAGCCCATCACGTGCGACGAGGAGTGCCAGAACACGGACTGGCCGCGGGGGTCGTCGAACTTCACGAGCTCCAGGCGGCAGTCGCCCTCGAGGGGCCGGCTGAGGTCCCAGAGCTGAGCGCTGACGGCCTCCTCCTCGTCGTCAGAGTCGTCCACGTCCTGGTCAACGTCGGCGAAGGCGACCGCAAGACTTGGATCGCTGTACTCCACGAGGGCCACGACTGAGTCGGCAGCCAGGCGCTTGGAGATGCTCTCTGCAATCTCCATCGGCGTGGTGGCCCAGCTCAAGCCTTCTCTGACCGAGCCGTCGGGGAGTTCAATCTTGATGGGCTCCTTCGGTCTGGCATCTGATTCAGCCCGCTTCTTTTCAGCAAGTCGTTCCCATACCTTCGGCAGGGTGGATAATAGGAATGACAACACGATGTGAAGTCCGAGTAGCATGGAGTAGGATGTAGCATGGAGCAGAAGAGGCGAGGACGGGAAGACGCGGAATATTGACAACGGGGAAGAACGACAGGGAGAGAGGATGATGAAGGAGGAAGAGGAAGAGGACTGGCAAACTCCAATTCGCTAATATGGGCTCCCGCTCGAGCCCTGGCGACAGTTCCACTTGCCACTCTGGTTGCAATTCAGGTCGCAGATATGTCTAAAAATTCCAGGGATTGTGAGAGGCCCCCAAGCCTTTCCAGCCTGGCCTAGCGCTGCTGGGGGCTGGGCCCCAAAGGGGATGCCGGAAGGGAGGGCACACGTGAGCATAGGCTTGAAGCTCTCGGCGACTCGCGGGCCTGCTGGTGGCCCCCCCGGCCTGGAAAGACCGGAGGGCCTGGCCGCCGGGGACCTCACTCGGAAGCGGCTGGCCGCTGAGGCACTCGCGTGCACAGAGGAGCGAATCCGAAGCGGGAGCCCTCCCCTCCCGCTCTGCCCCCCCCCCGATGCTGCTCTCACCACTCATGTTCCCAATCCCCTCCTGCCCTCTTCTCCCTACAATAACCGGATCCCACCTGCCCAGTAGGCGTAGGCAATTCAGGGGGTTGTTCTTCCAACCCCCTTGTTCCCATTTTGCGGAAGACTGTCCCCCCCCTACCCTGTCCCCCCAGATCTGGACGCAAGGGACAGCGGCCCATAGCAGCATCAAACCCGATGTAATCAAGGAATGGATCCTATGGGATGTCATTTGGAAAGGGCGAATGACAAAATATAAGATACAGAAGCAGGAGAGAGAGCGGAAGAGGAGCGCAATGCCGGGCAGGGGGAACGGGGGGAGGGGCGGTCGGCTGGCCAACAAAAAAAAAAGAGAGGGGGGGGGGGGCACGGGGGCCAAAGGGGGGGGCACGCAGAGGCACGGTCGGCCAGGGGGGGGGGGGGGCACGGACGGTCGGTCGGAATTGGCAGGAGGAGGGCACGGGGCGAAGGGGGGGGCACGGAGAGGCCACAAGCGGGCAGGGGTGGGGGCACGGCCCGTCGGTCGGAAGGAGCAGAAGGGGGGGGGGCCGGAAGGGGGGCCACGGTCGGGCAGGGGGCGGGGCACCGTCGGTCACCGACACGTCCTGAGACCTACCACACCGAAGCAGGTCACCGACACGTCGCAGCACACATCCCAGCACACCCAGGGGGCCGCGGCCAGCACATAGCATAGCACATCAAAGCACGCCCATACATCCCAGCACACCCAGCACACATTCCAGCACATTCCCAGCACGTATCCCAGCACACGGAGGCAGCACACATCTCAGCACACCGAAGGAAGACACCGACACAGGCCCGTGCCGCAAAGCCGGAATGACTCGCCTCGAGCCGTCTCGTCTTCTCGGCCAAGGGGGGGGGTCGGCGAGGACTCCCGGAGGCCGGGAACAGCGAAAAACCTCCGCCATGACGTTTTCAAGTAGCCTCCTAGATGGGGACGGAGAACCGCGCCGCATCGCCGATACATCGGCGATGCATCGGCGATGCATCGGCGATGCACTGGCGATGCATCGTGGACGTGGGCGATGCATCGTGGACGTGCCCCCGTCCCTCCGTCCGTCGGCCCGGTCTGCCCTTTCCGGTCGTCCCCCCTCCCTCTCCCCCTCTCGCTCCTCGGCTCCTCGCTCTCCGGCCCGTTCCTGTACCTTTCTTGGCCCGCTTTTCTTTGTCGGCCCGCCCTGTGGTCCGAATAAGAGTTGCGGCGGCCCGCACTGCCACGCTGACGGACCCCCCCCTCCCTCTGGCTTTTGGCCGGGGCGGCGGGGCAGGACAGGCGACGAGTTTTCAATGCTTGGCCATCCTGATATTGGGACTCGGTGCCCCGCCGATGTCTTCTGGGCGTGGTCCACGCCAACGCTATAGCCCGCTTCCGCCGCCTGTCTTCTCGCAGGGCCAGGCTGATACAAACGCTGGAGCTGATGATTGGCTCTCGCCCCGATGACTGCTATGTCGCTGCACGCCGTCGGCCTTGCGCGAATCCCAGCGTTGTAGCTGATGATTGGCTTCCGCTCTGCTTTCTCGCAACGATTGCGTACAATGTCACTGCCCGCCTTCTCGCATGAGCCGTTCCCATCGTTGTTGTTGATATGTGCTTTCGCACCGCTGTGTCGCAACGACCGTGTGCACCAGCGTCATAGCTGATGATTGCCTCTCGCATCGAACCATGGGCGACACCGACGTGAAGCACATCGGGCTCCGCATCGGCGATGCAGCGGCGGTGCCTCGGCGATGCGGCGAGAGCCTCCGACCCCCACCTGCTCGGACACCGTCAATCAAGGAGGCCTGGAGAAAAACCTCCGCCGTCATGTTTTCAGTGCGTTGGACGTCTGGGCGCAGGAGGAGGAGGAGGAGGAGGAGGAGGAGGAGGAGGAGGAGGAGGAGGAGGAGGGGGAGAAGGAGGAGGAGGAGGAGGAGGAGGAGGAGGAGGAGGAGGAGGAGGAGGAGGAGGAGGAGCCTTCAGCCGGTCGCCCAGGTACGGGGGGTCGGGCGCGGGAACGAACGGCCCCTGGAAACGGCCGTCGGGCCCCAGGCTGCTCTCGACCGCCACGGCGGAGCCCGCCTCCTGCCGGGGCAGCGGGGGCTCCGGGCAGCGTGGAGGGGAGGAGGCAGCCTCCTCGAGACCCTGGGGGGGAGGGGCGACAGGAGGGAGGGGAAGGGAGGGGGGAGGGGGGAGGGGGGGGAGGGGAGAGGGGCGGCAGGAGGGAGGGAGGGAGGAGGGGAAGGATAGGCGCGCTCGCGCCACATCGGGCATCCTGCCCTTCCCACCCATCCCCTCCTGTTCTCTCTGAATTCCAGGGGTCCCAGGGAACCTCGATCCCCAAGGCGCAGTGGCAGGATTTGACCCGTCCTTCGCTGGAAACTCTGGAAAGGGGGAGGGCGGGAGGAGGGAGGTCAGGAGGAGAGGGGGGGGCAGGAAGAACAGGGGGAGGAGGGGGAGGGAGGAGGGGAGATACAGTGGAGGCCCGTCCACAAGAAACTTTCCACAAGAAGCCCAACCCTTAGACCGCGGGACGCCCATTTATTTTGGTTTGAGAACGTCGGGCTTTCCAAAACAATGCAGTGGAAACTGAAAAACCCAGGGCACCCTGGAGGCAGCCAGGGTGCGGCTTGGCATGGGTCCCCACTATAGGGGAGGCCAGCAGACAACTGAGCGACGAAACACAGAACGGGCTTCACGCGAGAGGCATGACGACCTGACGACGCGGTCTACGCGGGCCACCAGCGCGGCACACGGCGTGGAGAGAAGGGGGCGTTCAGGCGCGGCTTTTCGCGGGCAGCTTACGTTCGAATGGCCACAAAGCCTACCCTGCTTTCTTTTGGTCGCTCAGCTTGAGGAGGAGGAGGAGGAGGAGGAGGGATAGACGGCACAGGGGGCGAAAGCGCGACGCAGAGAAGAAATACAGCTGGCGCTGGAAAGATACCGTGCAGCACCGATCCCCAACAGAAAACACGCGATCCCGCTGCTGCGATCCCCTCACGAAGGCCTCCTCTGTGCACGCCGTCCCCCTGCATGGGTTTCTTCGGCACGCGCAATCCCGCCAAGGGTGGGGACAGCGTGCAACAAGCGGGCCAGCGGCGCCGCCTCGCACGCGATCGTTCCAACACCAACCGCAGGAGGCGGAGGGGAAAGGAGGAGGAGGAGGAGGAGGGGGAGGAGGAGGAAGAGGAAGAAGAAGAAGAGAAGGAGGAGGACCAGGACGAGGAGAAGGGCGAGGAGGAGGAGGAGCAGGAGGAGGAAGAGGAGGAGGAGGACGAGGGCAGGGAGAAGGACGAGGAGGAGGAGAACCAGGAGGAGAAGGAGCAGCAGGAGGAGCTAAACTAAGAGGAGGAAGAGGAGGAGGAGGAGGAGGAGGAGGAGAACCAGGAGGAGGAGGAGGAGGAGCAGGAGGAGCTAAAGTAAGTGCAGGAAGAGGAGGAGGAGGAAAAGGAGGAAGAGGAGGAGGAGGAGGAAGAGGTGGGGGGAAGAGGGAGGGAGAGAGGGGAGGTCGTGAAGAACAGAAACACGCCCTCGTAGTACCGATCACAGGGTGCCGGACCGCGCCTCGGAGCCCGACAACACACACACACACACACACCCATAGACCCTCACAGAACGCCAATCCAGGAATCATGGGGGTCGTGAAGTAGAGATGCTAGTTGTCAGTTCGTGACATTTCCTGGATGTTTTTCCCAAGAACGATCCGAAGCGATCAATCCGGATTGAGGTGGGCCATTAAGGAAAATCCCACCAGCCCTTTGGGCGTGAGTGGTTTAGCGAGCTCTCTCTGTTCTCACCCCCCCTTCTTCCCCTTCGGGGAGGGGTTTACCCCTCCCCCTACCCCCTCCCCCTGGGCCTGGAGAGGGCGTTCCGCGGGTCGTTGGAGGGGTTTTTTTCGACTCCTGGGAGGGCTAAAATTCGACACCCCTCACGAGGATTCTGGCCCCGACGGGGGGGGGGAGAAAAGTGCTCGCCCCATCTGTGATCGATCGCCCGACAGATGGCCCCAAGATTCCTCCCAGACCCCTCCCAAAGAGCCCCAAGAGGCCCCAAGAGGCCTCCAAGAGGCCCCCAAGATGCCCCCAAGAGGCCCCCAAGAGGCCCCAAGAGGCTCCCCCGAGGCACCCAAGACGCTCCTGGAAGCCCCTGGAGCCGCCAAGGGGGCCCCAAGACGCCCCAAACGGCCTCCAAGAGGCTCCCAAGAGGCCCGAAGAGGCTCCCCCAAGGCACCCAAGACGCTCCTAGAAGCCCCTGGGGCCGCCAAGAGGCCCCCAAGACGCCCCAAAAGGCCTCGAAGAGGCTCCCAAAAGACATCTACTACTACTACTACTACTACTACTACTACTACTACTACTACTACTACTACTACTACTACTACTACTACTACTACTACTACTACTACTACTACTACTACTACTACTACTACTACTACTACTACTACTACTACTACTACTACTACTACTACTACTACTACTACTACTACTACTACTACTACTACTACTACTACTACTACTACTACTACTACTACTACTACTACTACTACTACTACTACTACTACTACTACTACTACTACTACTACTACTACTACTACTACTACTACTACTACTGACTACTACTACCTACTACTGCCTACTACTACTACTACTATTACTACTACTACTACTACTACTACTACTACCACTACTACTACTACTACTACTACTACTACTACTACTACTACTACTACTACTACTACTACTACTACTACTACTACTACTACTACTACTACTACTACTACTACTACTACTACTACTACTACTACTACTACTCTACGACTACTACTACTACTACTACTAC